ACGAATTTATCGTTTCGCCGGCATAAACCTGTAGCTTCTGCAATACGTTCTTGACAACAAAAATGTCTGCCAAAGCACTTTTGGCCATTTTTAATTTAATTGTCATGATCGAAAACGTCATCAGATGTGGAAAAAATGTCACTGGTCACAGGTTAACCAGATTTAACGTAGGCTTTTCATGCTTGCATTTCATTCAGAACATGGCAGCATCAACCTTTGGGCTTCAAACTGCTTCTTTTTGTTTCTCTATAGGAGAGAAACAACGAGGATAATACTTCCATGCTGGAAATTACACCGGGTATCATGAATCAGCTGAGAGATCATAGCCAGCAAATCCCTATAGAAGCACCAGTAGAAGTGCCAAACTCAGGGGCAGAAGAGGTTGTGGTTGTTGACAATGAGACATATCTAGATCAAATGGAAATTGACAGAAACTGGGAAATTCCTCGAGAAAGACTGGAAATTTTAGAAACGAAACTTGGTGGAGGAGAGTTCGGAGTCGTCAAGATGGGAAAATGTTTGAGAGGAGATGGGAACAAATTACCCGTCGCTGTTAAAATGTTAAAAGGTCAGATACAGTCAAACGCTGTTTCTATTTATGAGTTCATTTGGATCTGGTTGTTCTAAAGATGTCACGCTATCCACTAGACAAATCTCAGTATTTTGCACAGTGCAGTAAGTTTTGTCGACCATTATCCACTGGATAGCAATTTATCTATTTGATAGCGTTATCCACCCTTTGGACAGCTGTGCCCAGATGGCTAGTGAAGCCTTCCAAAATAAAGTTACATTATTACCCAGATCTTCCCTAATCTGTCCTTCAAATCATTCTTAATAGTATTGTTAAGGTGGCCAAGACAAAAGAGAAAATAACCGTGCAGGTTTGTGAGCACTTTGAAAATGTTTCGAATTGCCCAACCATTTTCGCTCTTCGCATTTTACCTCCCTATTCGAAAATCGAGTTTATCTTTGTTTAACAGTTTCTGCCTTTATTTCTAGATACCAATGACCAAAAACAGCGCATGGCTCTAATCCAGGAGTTAGAGATGCTTAAGAAAGTGGGACACCACAAAAATATTGTGAGCTTAGTTGGAGCATGCTCATTTGAAGGTACATCAAAGCAGATAAAGCTTTGTAATCAAGAGAGTATTGGTTTGTTTCTCTTTAGCCAAGGAAGTGGTTTCTTATGTCAACAAAGCGTCCAATTCGGCAGGAAAATTATGTGGTACAAGAGATCTGCTTTAAGTTATAAGAAAAGAATTGATAGGGCATAAGAATTAATTTCTTTCTATTACGTAGCAGGAGTGAATGATTTTTTAGCAAGAAACTTCAACCTATGAAAAACCTGGTGGTCTTTTGGTGAAATATTCAATATGTTCGCATAAGCTGAAGGTGAAATTTGTCAAATGTAACCAACAGTTACATCGCCTTTCCATCGCAAACTTTTCTCTTTCTTAAAATGGTACAGCAGTTTCTAATTGACTGTCGTAAACCCAAAACCAGAATAATAAAATCAGCCAATCAAAGCAATATTTTTTGTCATCATCAGCCAATCAGGACTCAAAGTAAAAGCAGGTAATTCCCAAAAGAGCGGGGAAAATCCGGGCAAACCAATTCACAATTGGTTTTTGTCTGGCATCTCATTAGTTTAGTTTTCTAAACCGATCAGAGACCGAAGTATAACAAAACCAAAGCAATCCAGTATCACTTTCAACACCTAATCGAAATGTATCCTATTTTGAGGTATGTTTTTAACAACCACCGCGGGAATTGACAACTCTTAAGCTCTCCCATCACTGTTTCATGTCACATACTTTTGTCTTCTAGAACCCCTATGTGTGATTATTGAATTCGTACCAGATGGAAGTCTGGATCGGATATTGCTTGAGAGCCGTATTCCTGCTCGCACAGAGGATGCAAATTATGCAAACCTTTGGTCTAGACTGTCCGAGAGAGATTTGCTAAGAATCGCCAAAGATGTCGCAAATGGAATGCAACACCTTGAAAGCAAGCTGGTTAGTTTTAGATGTACGCTTATTTCTTTTGACTTTCCCACCTTAAATATAGTGTGCGTTCTTTGTATTTTATGAATCTTGAAAGTGGATTGTATAATAATTATATTTAAAACCATTTTGCATTTTGGAAAATGAATGATAATCATTTCATATTGTTCTTAAAATTTTTCTCGAACATGCGTGGTTGCCACCAACCTAATTTCAGAACCAGGTAAACGTCATGCATATAATTGGACAGTGTAATATAACGGTGTAAGCGTCGTGTTCGTGCGTTGTTTCCGGGCATTTCGCCGAGTTAAATGTTGTTGTTATTTTCAATGAAACATTCAACCGATAGCTCGTTCATCCTTCAACTTTTGTCATAGTTAACAACTATTCACCTCAGTGTCGGTGGTTAGCGGTGGATATATAAATATCCACCGCTAACCAC